AAATAAAATAAAATAAAATAAAGAAAGTGGAGGTCTATGTAAAGTGGAGGATAACTGAGAGAAATGTAGCTACTGGTGTATATAAGACCTGACAACTTGTTAAATAGAAGGGGACGAAACAAAGAGAAGAATATAGAATGACACTTAGGTTTTTATTTTGAGCAACAGGGTTGAGAGATAGTGTCATTTATTAAGATGAGGAATAGAAAAAAGGGAAACATGTTTGTATGTGTTCAGTCTGGGAGGCAGCATACAATGTTGGTTCAGAGCAAGGCCTCTGAATCGAGGTTGAATTTGAATCTTGGCTCCCACACATTTTAGCTATGAAACTTTGAGCAAGTTCCTCACCGCTTTGTAATCCCATGGTTCAGATTGCCAGATGAGGCTAGGCGTGTGTCAAGGAAATTTAGTATTTGTCAACATGATTAGAAATTTAATTTCCGTTCCATTTAATGTATACCACATTTGTGTTCCCTTCCTCTTGAAATTTATGAAATCATTTCTGCTAAGATCTCTGTAAATGTAAAAAGTTTTATAAGCTTACTTTTCAGTTTTAAACTTTATATTATTACTATTTCTTGATACCACATCTTATGATGATGACTATGATGTTACATCTTCCTGATCTTGTATGGGAGTATCCACTACTACTTCACACAGAAGTAATTTATTTAATAAAGGTAATTTCCAAAGTAACAATTAGGAAACGAACCTAAGGAAATGATACAAAAGGAAAATAACCTTTTGTATTTTATACAAAATAACTTTTTGTATTGTATTTTTTCATCTAGTTTATGAACTGCCTTCCTGCTCCAAGTAAAATTATTAATTTTCTGATATAACTCAAGTTAAAAATTCTATTTTAGTCTAGATCCTTAGATTAACTGATAAGTACAAGTTTAAAAGACATTTTGCTCATTTTTTTCACTCTAAATTGAATGTACTTAAGTCATGCTGAAACAAAACAGCATTAGAGGAAACTGTTATATTCTTAGAAAGAAGTATTGTACATAAAGTAAGGTATTAGTAGGTACTTTATGTTTAATGGAAATGGAATTTTTCTCTTCATTCTCTGTGTATAAATAATTGGACTGTATAAGCAGCTTTTCAAATTAATTAGTAGGACTAGTAATAATTCATTGATGATGATTACTTGAATAATTCCAGAGGAATTAATA